ACCAAAGTAGGGCCGTTAGGCTTAACGGTGCGCGCCGGGCCGTAGAGCAGCGACAAGAAAAGGCACGAACCTCGAAGCTGCCTGCACATTCTCTCTCGCCTCCAGACTGAGCGAAGGAAGAACTGAAGCGGCCGTCACCTCCTGCAGGTAGTAGCCCAGAGTAGTCTGGTGCTGCAGTCTCATGGCCCACTGAAGGTCCGCTATGGGCAAGCCTTTCTGATGAGCAGCGACGGCGCCTCCTCCACGCAAAGACCCTGGCGTAAGCTTAGCAGTTCGGCTGACGCCGAGATCCTTGAGCAAAGAATCCCAGCGCCTCCTGTACGCGGCGGATGAGCCGGGGTAAAGCGCAGCTTCCTTTGGCAGGGGCTCAAACACTGAAGTGACGAGGTCGATGACGAGCGGCTCATGCAAAGAGATATGCTGCACTTTGGCGCCGCGCCCCCGAGTCTTGGAACGACGGACAACCAGGTAAATGCACGGCCTGTCAGAAAGCAAATCGCCGGGTGTCAGAAGGTCAGCTCGAGTAGCATGAAGCGGCTCCCCAATACGTGCGATGCCATAAAGCATAGGGCAGTCAGGGCTGCCCAGCGAAGCCACCCTCGAGACAAAGTCAGCCCAACCATGGCAAGAAGTACAGGTTCCGGCAGCGGGGGCCTTTGGGACAGAGGCTCGAGGTGCTCCCAGCGCGTGACTTCGCAAAATACGGAACTGGTCAGCTCGCCATCATGCAATTTAGATCTCTGCTGCATCTCTTCGTCAAATGCATGGGCAAACGCGTTTGAGATGTCAGAGTCCTGCAGTGCCAAAACTTGTTTGCATGTGGAATGCCTCTTTGTACGCGAAATCTTGGGCACATGGGTGTGCATCTTGGCAAGCAACAGAAAGTGGTGTGTAGCCAGTGGCAAGCATTCCAGGCGGCTCCCAAGAAGGGCTTTACAGTCAAAAACTCCTTCGAGAGGAAGGCCAGCAGCTGTCGGTAGTAGTGAAGGGGGGCCCCAGAGCTGAAAAGTTCTTGCCCATAAAGTCGCACTGCCTCAACGAACAGCGAAGGCCAGACCAAGAGCTCGGCAATCTCCCCAACGCCGATCGCTGAGAGGAGCCACGCACAGAAGGCGGCCCAGGCGCTGCTGCAAGGCCGCAGTGGCAGGAGTGACCAACTGAACGCGCCGAGCAGCACGAGGCCCAGGACGAACGGCCCGAACGGCCTCGCCGATCCTGGCTCCCAGGCACTTGGCGCAAGACGCAATGTCCAACCGAGCACTTTGGGCGCAGACCGCAGTCGGAAGCAAGGGCCCCACTCAGCAAGTTGCGCAGTCCACGTGGATAGGGCTGCGCACAAAGGGTCCAGGACATGCGCTTGGCTTTGTTATACCCTCGTAACTGCAAGTGAGGCTTCCCACAGTTACAGTTGAACTGCCAGCCTCCAAGGCAGCTGGATGTCCTGAAGCGCGTTCGCTTACGCCACGGCGTCTTAAAGATGCAGTAGTCTACCACGAAGTCATTCCAGACACCGCTCCGCCTGGACCAGCAGCTTTGCTTCCAAAGCCAGGATGTAGCAGGGTTCTCAATGACATAGAAGACGTTGCACCGCTCGCACAGCCTTGCCAAGAGCAAGCGGGGTGGCATCGATCCGGGAATTGTTGCGGCCGCAAGAGCCGCTGCAGTCTCCGAAGCAACTATTGCCAGGATGGGCGCACTCGCCTCCTCTACTCGCATGGGCGACGCTCCAGCCGTGCCTTCGCAACAGCCTGCCGGCGCCAAAGCCGCCAATCCCTTGTCGGAGTCCGAAGAGGAAGTAGAGGGCGAAGGAATCGACCCCTCAGCTCCTGCCGTGGAAAGGGCGGTGGTTCAGCTTACGCGTGTGGTCAAGAGCCTCGCTGGCGACAAGGGCCGCCCGCGGGATTTGAATGCCCTGCTCGACCGAGCCGAGACGGCGGTGCCGAAATCAGCTCCAGCAGCGGGGGTCGCTCCAAGGCAGCCGCTTCTCGCAAGCTTCGGGCTTGCCTCCGCGAGTCTCCCGCTTTCCTGTACGAGGCTGTGGAGGAGGCCATGGCGGAAGATTTCAACCAAGTTCGTACTACGCCATCCTTGGCCAGTGGCCAGTGTTCCAGTGTCGACTCGAGGATGGGTCGAGCATCGCAGCTGGCTGGGTCCGTACCCAGCTTCCATTCGTGCCATGTGGATTTTAGGTGCGGTGCACGATCGCTTGAAGGAAGGCAAAGCGGAGGAAGCAAGGGCGAGGGTGGCTCTAGCACTTTGCGCCTACCAAAGCGCCGCAGACAGCGGCAATTGGCTACTGTCTCAAGAACTTCTCCTCGAGCAAGCTCCTCCCTACTCATCCTTCAACCGCGTTCGCGGGGGCAACGATGCCGGCGACGTCCTTCATACTTGTTTGGCGGACCCCAGATGGATAGAAATCCTTATGGCGCGGTTGCGCGACCAGGATGCATACAACGAGGCAAAGCAGCGACTGACCTCCAAGCGGCGGCAGCAGGCTCCCAATACCGAAGATCCCCCGGCACCTGGCGACACGCCCAAGGGCGCGCCCAAAAGAGGGTGGCAAAGGCCGCGCTGCCAAAGGGCTGCGGAGCAGTGAATGCCGGGTTGCATACGCCAACCCTAATACCTCTTCACCCGTGTTGCCTGGGGCCCCGGCTCCGGGCTCCCTACTCCTCCCCCTAGGTCTGGTTTAGGTAGGGGTCTAGACCCTAAACCTGCCGAGCCCGAAGGTCGAGGTGTACAGTATCCGCCTTTGCATGCTCCTTCAAGGCCCAGCGGCCAGAGCTCTGCCACACACCGATCAAAGCCAATCAGCGCTCCCGGTGCTAGGGCTCCTTCTTTCGTTGGCTGCCGCCTTTGGGGCTCACTTTTCAAGCAGTTGCTCTCTTGCAGCTCTCCGCTGCGCTCCTGGCACCCGTGCAGGCTGCCGAAAATTCTACCTGCCTTTGGCCCATGCCTTTGCCATTTCCTGCTGTACTGGCCCCCAAGGCTGGGCTCGACTCGCATTCCTCTGACCAACTTGGTCTTGGTGCTTTCTTTTCTTCACTGCAACGGCCCTTCTGTGGCCCCTTTGAAAATCTGTTATGGAGCCAAGCCGACTCCTCAGCAATGGGCCGCCCTTGGCTCTTTCCGTGCTGCGGTTCAAGCCTGGAACTCTTATCCTGAGGTGGAAGCGGCTGACATGGGCCGCGGCGCCGTTAAGGTTGAAGGCATCTCTGACGTGCTGGCTCAGCTCCTGCGTGTTGCCACTCCAGTCGCTGCTGCTCTCCGCTCGTACCGCGGCACTTGCCGAAGTGGGCCGCCGTGCAAAGGCGACGCTGGCCATCCAGGGGCTGTCATTGGATCTATGCCTGCCGACATGCTGCCTTTGGCCAAGTGCATCGAGCCTTCCCGCTTGTCGTTCTTTGGCAGCCCGTCCTTTGATCCACTTCCCTTTCTGGATCCAGTCAACAGGGCGTGGTACGCCGATCCTGTAGCACTCTCCGAGGAGGCATCCTCCGAAGAGCGCATGAGGTTCTTTAAGCTTCTGGATGATGGTGGTAGGCTAGCTCTCCATCCCGCGTCTGCCTTGCGCGAGGGTTATGGTGCCGGGGCTTTTGCAATTCCTAAGAGCGTCTCCAAGGATCGGCTCATTGTCGACTGCCGCCCAGCGAATCAGCTTGAGCCCGACGAAGATCGCTGGATTCGGAGCTTGGGCTCGATCTTCCAGCTTCGCACTCTCTTCCTTCGGCCGGGGTTTCAGCTGATTACTTTCGCCGAGGACATCCGGGACTTTTATTACGGGCTCAAGGTGCCTGAGCCGCGGGAGCTCTAAAGGGTTCAAGTGCTATAGGCCCGAGCTTGCCGATTGCTCCGTTTGCCCTTGCCTCTCAACCTTTGCAATGGGGGACAAGCGAGCTGTCGCCTACGGCCAGGCAGCCCACCTCAGCGTTGCCCTTCGCGGGGGTGCCTGTGACCTCTCCGAGTTTATCACGCTTAAGGCCGGTGTGCCTCGGTCCGGCGACTTCTGCGGGCTTATTATGATCGATGACTTCGTCCGCTGTGCTCAGGTCCCCTTGTCTGATGACGGATCTGCAGCTCCAAGCTGGCAGCGAACTCAGGCTGAGGGCAAGATGCATGCTCTTCGGCAGGCGTACGAGGACTCAGGCCTGCCTCGTCACCCTGACAAAGCCGTCTGGGGTCTTCCCGATGCCGAAGTTTGGGGTTCTGAAATATTGGGGAAGCAGGGTTTGGTTCGGCCGAACTTCAAAAGATCCATCCCTTTGGTCGGTTGTGTAGCTGAGATGCTGGACTTGCGACGAACCTCTGTTCGGCTCCTGGAGGTCATCTCCGGCTCCTTCGTGTCTGTGTTTCAGTTCCGGCGCCGATTGATGTCTTCTGAAGTTTACAGTGCGCAGGCCGGCCGCCAGCCGACTGATATCATCTCCATTTCGCCAGAGCTCCATCAGGAGTTGCTGATCGCCTGCCTTCTGGTTCCTACTGCCTTTCTCGACGTTCGGGCACCTGCTGCCCCTCTGCTGGTGGCCTCTGACGCATCCACTCCAGCGTGGACTTTGGCCGCGTCTCCTGCGGCCGCTTCCTGCCTACCTCCGCTCGAGGGTCAGTTGCCTGCCGACCAGGAGCTCCCAGCTGAGCATTACAAGTCCCACCCGCTCTGGCAGACCATCTGCGAGAATCTTCGGTTTAAGCATTTGGTTAGGGCTAAGAGTAATCGGGGTTCTCGTCATATCAATATTTTGGAACTTAAAGCCGCTCTGGAAGCCGAAGCCTATGTCGGCAAACTGCACCCCTTCACCAGGTATGTTCACCTCGTTGATTCGCAGGTGGCTGCGGCCTCGCTTGTCAAGGGGAGATCCTCGTCCATAGGGATCAACAAGCTCCTGAAAGGAAGTCTTGCAGTTCACCTTTCGAGCGGTGTGAACCCGGGTTTGGGTACATTGCTTCAAGCGCTAACCCTGCCGACGACCCGAGCAGGTTCGTTCCCCTCAGACAACCTGACGGTCGGCCTCCTTCCTGGTTTGCCAGCTTCCTTTTTGGCGACCTCTCTGGCTTTGACGGCTTCCTTCTTCGGTCTCTTGGGCTTGACCGCTCCTCCTTGCGCCTGCCACCGAGTTGCTGGAGCCTCTTTCTGTCGACCTGCGGCCCAAGCGCGTGAGGCGCTCCGACCGGGGCCGGTCGTTCAAAAGCGGTCCCTCAACCTCTGCAAAGTCTGCGCGGGTTCGCCTGCGTCTCCTTCTGGCGACGCAGTCGCTAGCTCTGTCGACCTCCGGGAGCGTGTCGTCTCGGCCTGAGGTTGGAGGCGCTGCCGCGGCCTCCCGCTCAGCCGCTCGGTACTTCAACCGAGCCTGCTCCTGACCTCTGCCCTGCTGAGCCTGTGTTGCCTCGAGCTCCTCGCTCTCCTCAAGGGTCTAGTCCCTCCTTGTGTGACAAGAGCGGAGGCTCCGAGCCACTTCTGTTCTGTACAGTTCCGCCTCCTGCCGGCGACGGCCGTCTCAGCCGTCCCTTGCGGCCTTCCCGCCGCGTGTGCGAGAGGCCGAGAGCTCTCCGTGCTTTCGCCTCTTCTCAGTTCTTGTTTGACAAGAAAAGGTTCTCTTCGCTTGA